TAAATCAATAAGAGACAAATAACGGAAGAAAAGTTGGCAGAGAAATTCCCTAAGCACTGAGAGAGTAAATCTTTCCTTCCAGCAGACCTGGACAATTACATTGGCTTCTAAATGCCTTCTTTGCCCTTCAGTCAGGGCTGCTGCTGATGGATTTTCATCAAAGCATATTTTTGTGCTGTCATTCTCTTGCCCAGATGGCCTCAGTATGTCTCCATGGTTGACAGGCTAACATAAAACCTCACAAACTTTACGTTTAACTAAATGAGATCATTAATGCCACTAGCACAGTTTTAGCTATGGTAAGCTCCCAAAGAATTCAAGTTCTTCATTCTTATTCATAGCTTTGTTGTGAGGATTACATGAGATACTGTGTGTTCAGAAGCAGGAAAATTCCCATCACATGAAGGGGCTGCTCAGTAAATGTTGGTCTCCTTCCTTCAAAGCTCTCCCTCATCCAGCCCTCATCAAGGGTCTTTCACCCTGGCTGCATGTTTTGAATTATAACACCAGTGCCCAGACTGTACCCCAGACCAGTTGAATATGAACCTCTGCTTGTTCAGCCCAGTGCATTTAAAGGAGTTTCACAGGAGTTTCTAATGTGCAGCCAGAGGACATGCTCTACCTTAAACATGCTTTGAATTTCTTGCTGCAGTGCCTTTATCCTTGGGGTTCCTTCTCCATCCCACCTTGCCGCCATCTGCCTCTCTGCCTCTTGAAGTATTAGTTTCAGTTGGAAATAATATCCTCAGCTCTGACCTGCTTAGCATTTGCACTCATCCTCTGCATTTGCCTTTTAATGGCCTTTTATTATAATAACTAGAGGCCCAGTGCACAAAATTCATGCACTGGGGAGGGGGGGTGTCCCTCAGCCCAGTCTGCACCCTCTCCAACCTGGGACCCCTCGGGGGATGTCCGACTGCCGGTTTAGGACATCCTTAACCGGTAGTCGGACATCCCTCGCACAATCTGGGACTGCTGGCTCCCAACTGCTCGCCTGCCTGCCTGCCAGCCTGATCGCCCCTTAACCACTCCCCTGCAGGCCTGGACCCCCCTCCCAACTGCCCTCCCCTGCAGGCCCAGTCCCCCGCAACTGCCCTCCCCTGCAGGCCTGGTTGTCCCCAACTGCGCCCCCCCCCACC